GTATAATTCGATAAGCGTCAGTTTAAGTTCTCGGCCATCATTCCAAGATGAGTGAATGGTCGGTTTCTCCGGAATCAAGTTGGCGCAATTTGTAAAATTGCGGATGTCGCAAAGCAAAAGGTACCTTTTACCTAAATGATCGATATTTCGTATCGATTCGGCTTTCATTATATCGGCCGAGGGCTGGAATTATTGAATAAATAACCGAGGTGTGTTTACCATGTGCACGGCGCAAGGAATCTTTTCACAAAGGAAAAATTTCGGATTTTTTTTTAATACATGTGTTCCGTCGCAAAAGGTCCAGTGGTTGCGATGCTTGTTCTGTTTGGTGTTTTGTACCCAGTTTGCCGTCCTGGTGTTGAGGCCAACTCGCCCGGAAACTGAATAGCAGTCTGGTCACTGGGCAAGCACAATGCACGCCCCGATCTGATCTCCCACTAATTTTTGTTCTCCCCTCTTTTCACGATTTCACGCTGGAGTAAACCGTTTTCCAAAGGCGCAGCAATACCCCAGTCACCGCACAGAAGCCCGATGCAGTGAGTTTTTGTGGACGGGCAAGAGCTGAAGAGGGCTCGTCGTGTTTGGTCGAACCCATGCTTGCTTGTTTGCGCGCGAACAATCGGGAGAATGTGTTCCGTGAACCGGAACACTGTTCTCCCCCCCCCTCCCCGGCAGGCGGGATGTCGAACGCGTGCCTAGAGAGAGTTTTCAGAGCTTTCACCAAATGAGCAGGGGGTTAATCATAACACACGCAATGATATTAACGCGCAGTTTAATAAGTACCGGGGGAACCGCCATGCACGCTTAAATAAACCAGCATCCAAGTTACGGATCGTAAACTTCAATACCGAGCGAATTAATCCTATTTATAAATTGAAATGCATAATGTATGCCGTCTGAATGGTACCATCACTCCGATAGCCTCGCCGTGTCAGTGAGTTGAGCGTAATGGCCAAGAAAAAGCAATTTACCTGCATGTCTCTCCTGGCTGGCCAGGCGAACCACACGGGATTAAATTCACCCCAAGCCCTTCACTTTAAAAGCTCTTTATTTTGTACGTGCAGCGTGTGTATCCGCATGCTTGCAGAAATCATTGCATTATCACCAGCGGAACTGCCTGCCTTGCTGGTCAGAATTAACCCTGATGTCTCACAGATCCTCATCCAGAGATTGAGCTGAAATAACCAACAGACAGGCAAACAGTCATTACGTGTTACTCGTGGGGGTCAGTCTTCTGTTTTTTTCAAATCTCGAGACCAAATTATATAATAGAAGCAACGAAATTCTTGTTCTTGTTTGTTGGCTGGCGCGAGTGCACATTAAAAGATGAGGATTTATTTTAATATTCGATACTTCCTCGTCCGTTTTAAAGACATCTATTTGTGTAGACTACAAACAGACGAGCTCACAAACAAATAAGCACACTGTTTCTTAACGTCCTCCTGATGCCGTCAATGAAGAACATGTACGTCTTCGATGACATACAGTTTGAAAAACACTTTTTTGACTGGTCGTATCCAGAAGGTCATCCTGGCTATTGACAGCGTTTGGATGGCATCGATGCTTTCCCCAGAGATTCCTGAATTGAAAACGGTCTTTTTGGAACTCCCACATATTGACGCATGCTGATTCAAGCTAAGTTATTTCCTCTCAACTATTGGCTAGATGCTTTTCACGGAATTGTTTATCAGCTAAAGCGAATAGACGATATCTGTTCATGGAAGAATAAAAACAGCTCTCAGAATTCTAATTTTCAAGAGAGCACACCCTCGACGGGAGATTTCGAAACCTTGTTTAATTTAGCGTATTTGTGTTTAAAATGAACAATAATTCAGGAAATATTCTTTGAATGTGAGGCTTGTTTGCGTGCTTAGTTTCATTCAACCCAAGTCTTTAAGCATAAAGGTCTCGACTCACTTTAGGCCAAGTTGCTATCGGACCTGAGGGAGCAATATATTTATGACCTCGTTGTTTTCCACGTGTGCTCTTGTAACACTTCGGCATGTTTATCGTCCCAAGCGCACTCCAAACCTCTCTCATGAGTAACGATCTCCATTGAGATATATTGCAATGTTCGTGAAAGACACAGACCGTGTACCCGAAGTTCGCTCTTGCATCTTCTTGTCTTGTCGCTGTTTCGATGACAAGAGGTCTCCAGATATATTTCGCTTGACATCACTGACTACACTTAGGCCTACTGAGAACTACCGGGAATGGAAGAAGTCAGAACTATTTGACCATGAATATTAACAACATGGTCACTGCCGATAAGGGCGCATCGGAGTAGAAACTGTCTTGTCATTTTTTAAACAGTCGTCAGAGCAATTATGATCGACTATCAGGTGTCTCTTGACCACTGGTCACTCGGCGAAAATGAATTCCAGGGTGTCAGAAGAAGGGTTTTACGAATTAGCCCGCGTGTTTGCTACCGCGGTCAGCTGAGGTGGCGCGTGGGTCGGACGACGGCGGTAAGTCGAACGCCCTGCGCTAACCTAGCTGGACTTGGCCCTTCCTGGCCCCTCAGGAGAATGACCAGGATATATAGGACACTCGTCGAGAGGAGTTGGCACCTTTTCCATCAAAATACGATGTTTTTTCAGTGCTGTGACGTTCAACGGGATCAGCTGCCAAAGTGTCAGACTGCCGTAATTATAACAAAATGCCAAAGTGGTAACGGTCAAACGAAAGTTGATCACTCTCCAACATCTGCACCTACTTTACCAGGCTGATGTTACTCTTCGGCAAGAAGTAAAATCAGTAAAATCAAACCGGATCATTTTACTTTTTGAATGTTGGTATATGAACCACTTACACATCCCGGACTCCACAATGTTCGACTTGGCCTTGGACCCGTCAGTTAATGCAGTGATCCCCGTAGATAGATCGGGTTATTTCATTTAATTATTTGTTTATTTATGTGAAAGTTTTGAGCTGAATGGTGCAACGGACGAGGAAGTATCGGTAGATATTTTGCTATAAAGTTGTGAGTCGGGTCAACGGAACATGCTCACAAAATCGAACGCGACCGCGTCGCGCAACTCGACAGCTTAACATCTGAATAAATCATTTCCTAATTCAGACTTCATAATTTTACAGTTCCCCGCTTTACACGACAGGCAAAAAAATTAAATTGGCAAAGAACAGGGATGAAACCGGCACAGGGGCTATGGGTGTCAAATTTCATTACCAGTAAACGGCACAAGAAGACGGCATTCTCTTCTTTTGTGAGCGGTAAAGGTCGAGAGAGCCTAGCCTGGGTAGAGGCTCGTTTTTGTTCCACATACCGGGATCTTTTTTACAGCTTGGGGAACCCCAAGGATCCTCCAGGCGAATAAGGGAGATGAATCATGTCGAACCAACGCATTTCCATGCGCGGCAACTTCGGGAGATGGAGATTTTACGCTGGGGTATTAGGTTGCTTTATTTCCCCGTAAGCAACGGTGAAACATAACCGAGCAGGGCCGGGTAGAAAAACTCGATGAAAATGTTACGCTGAAGGTTGCTTGCAGAGATGTTCTTACATTTTGAGTTGCTGATGGTTCTGCATTGCATGCAAGGCGGGACTGGAGTGCTCCAAATGATGATATGAACCGCTGCTAGTTAGCTGACCGTTTTTTGTCTGCCTGTTGTTAGCGACCTCTTTTAGATTCTTCGCCTTTTCAAACACGAGAGGGCCACGCGCAAATTAATTAAGGCACATGAGGCCGATGTGCAGAATCACGGGAACACGCGATCCATCGTCCCGACAAAAACTATCATACGACACACGCTGTGTAATTGCCATGGGGCCCGAAGGCATTATTGCTCTTTACACGGAGCAAGGAACCGCCGACAATATGCAGCCGATTGGAAAAACATGGCCCACAAAAGAGCCGGATCCCTTAGCCGAGTAATTGGGAGCAATTTAACGCCGGTTAACGCATGTCACTGAGCCTCGCTTTGGAAGAGTTAATTGACCTGCGCAATCCCGGGTTTGCCCTGAGGTCAGTGAAGTAAGATCGGAGTTCACTTGCTTGATGACCTCATGAGGTCAATCCCATTTAGCTAGTGTTGTTACAATGTTGTTCTCATGCTCTCTTTTTGTGTGTGTCTGATACAAGTCGCGTCGAGTTCCAGAAGCCCCATTTCAGGTAATTATCACATACAATGGATGAAACGGGACGCCCTTTTCACAAGTTTTAGTCCTAGTTTTGAGGCAGTTTGAAAAAAGAGCCAGGCCCCTCAAAAAATCCAGGTCTTTACAACTGACTCTGTCGGACGTTTGCAAATAATTTGGGGCGTGGTCCAGGGTCATAAAGTTCCCTTTCCTGATATTCCTGCATTCCAGTAATTTGCCATGCAGTTGCAGGTATTTGGGGATAATATCACGCTCGTAGCGAAGGCTAGTCACGTAGACAAGATAAAACTTGTTTTGTCCAAGTGGCTGTAAGGAGAATTCACTTGTCTCAGAGACAAGTTTTCAGTGCTTTCCAAGAGCTTGTGAATCAAACATGCTTAATCCGATGGGATTTGAACCGCAGGCTAACTACTGGGCCAGTCGAGGTTGGATCGTTGGTTTGAATTGATACGGCAGTGCAGTAGGCACCTCAGTTGTCGGTATTACAAGACAAGGGCAACACATCAGTTGTTTTCAATGCAATGTTCTTGTCTTCAGGCTCCAGACTCTTGTCAAAAACCTGTCAAAATATTGTCAAAAACTTGTCTGTATGACGGACGTTGCTTGTACCGGTATATTCCAATGACAAGAGTTGTAATCTTGTCAGTACAGTGCGCATAAAATAACCCATGTAGGCCTATCCAATGTTTTCAATGCATCGTCTGAAATTTTTGATTTTATCACCTGCTTTTAGCTGTAGTGTTTTCAATTCACCTTTGCACTAATGCTGTTCATCTCTCTTTGAGGAGTCGTGGTTATTGGTACTCTTTTCCGACGACCTCAACTCGGTCTTTCGCAGTATCACGTATTTTCTCCTGTATTCTCGTGTTTCCCCATCTTGCAGCATGGATCTAAGACGGGCGAGCAGATAGACCTGTTACAGTCGGCGGTGGACTACCTCAAGTCTGTCCAAACCTCGTCCTCTGTGGATCAGCTATCCTGGTCGACAGGTAAGAATTATATTGTTGGAAATGGGGAGAAGGGGGAACAATCGTGAACAGAGTCCTTCAGAGTTGTAACGAGTCACTTCACTTTATATTTTTGTCATTGTAACGTAAAAACTCGAGTCGAGTCGTCGAAAATTGTGAGTCATTGATTTGAGTCAATACAACTCCGCAGCCCTTCCTATACTCTGCGAAAATGTACCATGATTCATTTTACAGCGTTTGTACAAAATAAACACAACAGGCCTAGAACTGCAGTCAACAGAGCTTAGTGCGTATTTAACTGGCTCGTTAATCTCAAAACCTTTCGAGCGCGAATGTCATAGAGCCTGTACGCACGGTGCTGCGCATGTCAAACAGCACATTTAGCCATTGCCTGTAGCCATGGTGTGGAATGCACAAGGGTTTATCCACTATGAACACAGGGTGAGGGCTCCCCTCGGTTTCTCTGTTTTCTCAGAATGACGCAATCTACATTCAGCATGTTCAGAATTCACATTTTGGCATGAACAGAAAAAAGCCCTTTTTAGCTTGATATATGGTTGAGCTCTGAAGACAAATGACACTGCGTTCGATGTCGATGCTTCCATATTTATTTGAACAGATAAAATCAGAGAAAACATGTTTTCCTTTGGGATGCTCTTTAATGTCACACTTCAAGGTCCTGTTATAATCATTTTTGACAGGTTAAAAATCGTGGGTCCTGCACTTGTAATAATTATCAGACCGTGGAAATTGGTGCTGTGATTTTTTTCTATTGCTCCGATCTGAGAGGATGTTATGATGTCAGCTGATAGTTCCAAAAGTTGAATATTTGCCCCTGTCAAATTTTCACATGCCCCGGTGCAAACCGCGATCATAATGACTTCCTCTCAACTTGGCAATAAATTGACTCCATAAATAAGTTTCCTTGTAGATTTTACGCTCACAAAGAATTGAACATTACTATTCTAAAACATCGTCCCAAAGTGACGGATCAACTCAGCTTTAACCTCGTGTTTGAAATTGCTTTACGTGCTGCGATCACCTGGTGTTTTCATCCGTGTCGCGGATATTTTCGAGCTACGCACGATCATCCGACGCGCCGCGCGCGGTATGCACTGACCCCCCGGTCCATCTCGCCCGTCAAATTTTATTTTGGCGTGGCAGCTCGGGCAAGTTGTCACGTCGTGCGGCCGTGTCGGAAACAACCGATCAGATGTCTGAAGAATTCCTTTCTTTTCCTGCCGTGCTGAGCTCGCTGACCTCGGAACTCGACGGAGAGCATGTCGTCTGCGCCCGCCACTGGCTGTGCGAGCCGACAGGTACATAGTTATTACCGAAGAGCTGACGTTTTTTTTGGGTCATGATTGACTGGCATGATTTTCTTGCCAACGACGCCCGTCTATGCCCCTTCGATGTGTTTGTATCAGGTTATTGTATGCGGCTCGTCGCTTGTGTTAATCAAAGAAATAGGAGCCGTGTGCAACATCCTGAAATGCAGCTTTCTCGTGGACAGATTTGGAAGATGGAAGAGTGGTCTCTTATTGACCACTAACCTGTGGCATTTATCACAGATTTGACAGTTGCAGTGGATTTAAGAATGCATAAACATGATCGCTAGGAACACTGTCCACTGCATACTGTGATTGTTAAATGCATCAAGTGGTATGGATTATAAACGCCAGACAGAACATTGTGAGCCGTTCAAGTGACCAAGGCACGGAAGCACACGGGGAAAGATCTGTCTTTCTGGCGAGGTTTAATGCCATCAAAAGGAAGAAATTTGATCTTCGCCGGATAACGAACTGCCTTGCAGGGATGACGAGGTAAACCTTGCCATTTTCGCCACGCTGTATAACAGCTGTCGTTTTAATTTTTTCCCACATCCCGGCTTCGCTCTGTCGTCAATTTCAGGCTTCAAGTGCAACGAATTCAATCCCCTGATTTAGGACCCTCCAGCTCACAGGCATCCCCTCTCTCAGTGTTACGAAAACATGAAATTGTGCAATATGAGGTCGAAGTTTAGAGTGAGCGTTCTCTTGTTTCCAACGGCAAACGCTGGCAATGGATCGGTGAGCTTTCGATGCAGCTGCGGCAGAAAGACTGGGAAAGCGATCATAACGATACGATGTCAGACGCTTCAAGGGCGTTGTGTGTTTCTTTACGCGTGTCAGGGTGTGGTAATAAAGTCACGCACGTCCCCAGTCCGTATGGATGGTGGAACGTGAACGGAATTTCAACCTGCCGCGTTGAAAAGTTGACAAGGCTTGTAAGTTGTAGAAATGCTATACATCATTACATGTTTATATATTTACAGAACCAAAAGGAATACTTGTAGCGGTGTTGGCAATGCTCGTAATTATGGCGATGGTCGCGTCGTTTTTCCATCATGCGTATTCGTTGTCGGAATACGTGCAAACATCGTGTTGACAGTGGAAGCTGATGCTACATTTTAAGAAAGTGGTGCTGTACTGTAATTGCTGAAGTGAAAATATCATTGCACTGATACTGAGCAGAGCGACGACACGTCGCAAAGACGAAAAGTGGAAGGGATGTGTCCACCAATTTAAGCTATTTGTGAATTGTATAAACATTACCACCGAAAATTGTTTTTCATTCACTGAACAGGTGTTCGCTAAGAAGAGAGGGGCAAGGGGGTTGTTTACGGCAGTCACACACAGCGGCCCCTAACTCTTTTATTCCAACGCCTCGTTGTATTGTCGAACAAGATGGCTACATGACCAAACGTGACCCGTCTGGTCGGCGGGGATACAACTGCCAAAGGCCCACATCAACATCCTTGACCTCACAGCCGAGCATTAATTTTTTGCAAGATTCCTCGGAATGCAGGGTTTTTTTTCCTTAACAAAAAAAGACACGCCCCCCGCCGGCAGGGCCCAGCACCCCAGCGGTGGAGAGACTGCCCCCGAAATTACGTGTACAGGCTGTGGCTTGCACCAATTTTCTCAAGTCGGCCCCCGGTAAAATGGAAGCAAGTATAGACCGAGGGGAAAAATCGGGGACAGAAAAGAATTCGGCTGAATTGGGATGTGAGATAAGCTCTTGCTGTTGGTCCTTTTTGTTGATGATATACACCTCAGCCTTCGAGCCTTCGAGTGCACAATCTCTGAAAGTGCGGTCCAATTTGATTATTATTATTTTTGGGGGGGGTGAGTGTGGGCAGAAATCGACCCGAGATTACATCCGGGTGCAGGTCACGGATACACTCTGAATGGGAGCATTATTATACACCAGGACACTTTACCCCTTCTTGCAAAGATCGCTCAGTGAATTTTGTACCGAATTGCTTTTCCAGATGTGGGCATTTTCAACAAGAAGACACGGCAGGTGACGTGGGTCGAAGGCGCGCTCACGTCCACGCGATGAGACAGCGCTCGATCACCCCTCTACCTCCTTCGATCGATTAGCCTTAGCAAGTAGCCAATAACTATCGATCCCAGACTGAAAAGAAGTCGGCAGTAATTGCTGGTATATAGTTAAGTGCCCAATATGCCCCGAGGCTGCAAAAAAGGGGAAACGACGAGCAGTTTTCTTAAAATGGCTGTTGCGTCAGTCTTGCATTTCAATGTCTCGGATGTCTCCCACTGGATGTTCAGTCATCCTGAGTGTGGTAAAATTAATTAATAAAATGTGTCTAAGATTACGTTGTAATCAGTACGTTCTTAGAATTAAAATTTTTCTCTAGAGGGGTTTTCCTTTTTCTTTCCTTTTATGCGAACATCATCCATATCTGCCTCGATCAATTCACGGAGATATAAACACCGATTTTCCAAAGATGCATCTTGGACTCGGTAAATCTCACCTTGACAGTTTCAACTTTGCCACGGAGATGACGGGCCGGGGCTCGTAATCCAGCGATGGGGAGGCGAATTGAAAGGCAGTCGGCGAAAGCGAAAGCGAGCTCCTAATCTTCCTACGCGTGACGCATTTTGGTCATGCATCACACGGGGCGAACTTACGACCGTGCAAAGTAGGGAGCTTTCAACTTAGGAACCGGGGCAAACAACTCATCAGCCCCCACGTGAGCCTGCGAAGTTTACCGGTCTTAAGTCGTCGTTGTTCCTCCTACGGCCATCCCCGTATCGATTCCTTACTTTTCGTGGTATTCTTTTGTGCTGTCGAAGTGCTATTGATTATCTGTCCCCGATTTTTGTTGGAGATTAAAAAAAAACAAAACAAAATCATCAACTTCAGGCATTGGCAGCAACTGTACAAAAAGATCATTGTTGATATCGAGCAAAACCCAAGACTACGATCCGGGAGAACTGACCTTGTTGGAATCACTGACGCACCAGAACGGCCACAAAGGAAGCAAACGCCCCCGGAATTACGGCAGAAAAAAAACCAGATCGATCGGTTCGCAATTATGTAAACTCTGGCAATATACTTCAGATCGCGTCACCGGTGCAATTGTTAAAATGCCGCAAGTGCTCACTGACATTTAAACTACCGCCCACAACTTCACATTTCCTTTTACACCGAAAAAATAAAATGTGTTTCTTGCTTACATCCTCCCTGGACAACAGCAGGCCGCATTACTGTAGTTACAATGGTGACCTTTAAGATCGCATGCAACGTGTGTTGGATCCGCTGAGTGAAATGTGACGGCCGTTGACTTTGACAATGCCGTGTGCTCATAGAAGCTTTGACATTGTCACCGCTACGAGTAGACCGTTTCGAGGTTTTGCTAAATCGAAATGGACAAGATTCAGTTTGTGTTCCTTTCGTCAGCCGCACTCCCGACAAAATTATTCGATTCCCACGCTCAAGTCTTTGAGCGTGGGAACTCCTGTCTGCTGATGCCACCAGCCTGCATGAGATGGAGAAGACCAAGGTGGCTTTGTGGCTTAACCGACAAACCGACGATGTTTGAAGATATTTCTATCCAGAGATGATCACCCCTCAAAAAAGTCATGAGGCCCATCGCCATTTGGAATATTGATGCCTACAGTCCCTGTTGGAGGGCCCCGATTTGTCCAATATTTTCCAGAAGACAACTTGAA